CTCTACATGCCCTATTCTATGTATCTTCCTACTGCTTGCTGTTCTTTTGGTATGACTTCTGTCCTTTTAAACTGTTTTGAGAACTGATAAAATTTATAGATATTGCTTTAGTAATCTGAAGACTCCCTTGCTGCCTTAATTGCCAGGACCTGTTTTACACTTGTGCAAAGGCAAGAAGATGAACCACTGCTTCAGTATGAATAATTTTGGAAAGGGTGGTGGCAGTTCACATCTGAGCTGGATAGGAGATAACTGTATGACGCAGAACCCTGCACAACTGCATCTGCATATAAATAGACTTCATCAGAAATGCAAATTGCAATCAGAAATTTTAAAACGCTACGATAACTGTGCAGATAACAAAAGGTCAAACACTCGTATTGATAACAGTTTAAAACCTTCAGCAGTCAGTGGTGATTCTTTCTTTATGACCAAAATGTGCAAAAGACAAGTATATGCCACAGTCTAATGAATGACGGGACAAATTCTTTCTGTATTTCTTCTATTATTACAACTGTTCTGTTGTTAAAATCTATTTTACACTGTCAATCTCAACTTATTCAGGAAGACTCAATAAAGAGAAAACAAAACGAAACCAAAAATAGACAGCATAAAATAATACAGTAATTTATATGACTATACATAAAGGGAATTTCTATCCCTTTTTCATATCCATGTACAACAATCCAGATCTTCACATTTTGACATCCTTGGGTAAATGAAAAAATAAATTATGACTACCGTTTGCTGAAACTGCCAGACTGCTTCACAGCATTGTCAAAACTGTGTGGTTTTCTGCCACAGTAAAACAAGCCTAAGACTAGGGCAATAACATTTAAAAACGTTATTCAACAGTTACAAATGTTGGCTTCTTCCTCTTTTGAAACAAATGTTTTCATCAATAGTAGCTAAATAAAGTACTTTTGAAGGGAGGTACCTTGATATTATGTGATTTCATATTCTAAGATAAGAATAAAATAAATATGTAAGTCTATAATTTCAAGGCATTCCAAATATAACTTACTGTAGAAGTCAGGCTGAAAAAAAGAAAAGTCTTTAACATTACAGCTTTTTAACGTCTTTTTCTATCAGAGATTCTTAGGATTTGAAGCACAAACGTTTACCAAATAGCTCTTTCTCCTTTGACTAGATTGCCTTTGAACAAACTAGTGAGTGAGGAGAGCCATCTAGTGCCATACCTTGGAATTTTAAAAAGGGTTTTCACCGGATGCATGTCAAATAAAGGAGGGTCTCCATCCCCCAGTTCAATAGCTGTTATTCCCAAGGACCATACATCGCATCGAGCATCATATGAGTAGTCATACTGCTGTTCACAAGCAATGACCTATCAGAAAAAAGCAGAGAAAACAATACTTTAACCTAATGTACAATTCACACTATCCTAGTGTGACATGAAAGTATTTTTTTGAGTCATGTCTAAAATTTTACGTAGCTTTCAAATCGATATCTTTGCCGGTATATCTCAGTTAGGAAAAGCCCCACAAAAATGTAACATTAAATTAGAACTTCTCTTAGGTTTGTTTTCTTCAAAAACAATCTCCCTCTTTTTTTTATATACATTAAGCTCCACTGGATACTTCAAATAGCTATACAAAAAATGTCACTCTACTGAATTCTGGTTTTGAAAGCACTTCTTACAGAAACCTACTACAACAGCAGAGAATCCTATTGATGTTATTCTTATTAACTTCTATGACTATTCATGAGGATAGACTGATTTGCACAGCTGTTGTTTAGATAAGAATATTCTATCAGTCATTTCTGCCAATTTTTTCCTTTTTTAGTCTGCCTCTACTAGATTTGAGTAGTTTAAAAAAATCTTTATGAACATACCATGTACCTTGTCTAAGAAAAACTACAGTTAACAGCAATCTCTCCTTGGACATCAAAACTCTTCTACATCACAGACTTGATACACACTTCCAGCTAACCCACTGTTTGCATTCTAATCATAAGCTAACTATTCACATAAGCTGGAAACAATTCCGCATCTAAACATGAGATTCAAACTAAAGTTTAAATTTAGCCCTTATCTTTGCAAAGGAATGAGGCAAAAATCGCAGCTTCACTGCCTTTTATTCTATCATGATTTAGAATACTGTCTCAACTTTGCGTTCCCAAACCTCACCAATCAGACTAACTGCTTTGAAAGTTTGTCAGATCCCTGCATATTGCTAGTATCAGCTTCCATGATTTTTCACATGGTTTTAAGGGGCAATGGTTTTAAACTAGAAACAGGTAGATTTAGATTGGATATTAGGAAGAAGTTCTGTACCATAAGGGTGGTAAAGCACTGGAACAGTTTGCCCAGAGAGGTGGTGGAAGCCCCATCCCTGGAGACAGTCAAGATCAGGCTTGATGGGGCTCTGGGCAACCTGATTGAGCTAAAGATGTCCCTGCTCACTGCAGGGGGGTTGGGCTAGATGGCCTTTGGGGGTCCCTTCCAGCCCAATGCATTCTATGATTCTAAGTAGCGTTACTAATTTGTATTTAAGATTAACAGAACTTCTGACAGCATGTCCTAAGGTAGCTGTATCGATGTTCTAGAAGAGGTTTGTTGGGTTTTTTTTACTTCTGTATTACTTCTAAGGTCTTGTGTTAGGGCTTCAGTCTGGGGCAATGGTTTGCAGAGATGCCAACATACAAGTCAGCACCCCAGGCAGCTGCTGGCAAAGAGCCACTAACAGCCTGCTGTAAGAAAATCTCTCCTGGAGAAGCTGCTGATTCCAGTTTAACCTATTGGTTATTTTCTCCATAAGGCGCACCTAACAGAGGCACTCCTGCCTCTGGTAGAGATTCTATCCAACAGGCCCATAGGACCTGTCCATCTCTTACTCTGGGACTCAGGACCCCATCATACAGCACTCATCATTTATTTTATCAGAAATCAGGGGTGCTGAACATACTAGTTAAAATAATACCAAAATGTTGGGGGGGTGGTTGTGGGTGTTGGCAGTAAAGTTGGACATTAGTTATTTCCTTTGCTATATACTAATAATTCAGCTCTTTTCCTAGAGCAAACCAGTTCAGAAAAATTAAGACCTTTCCTGAATTTTCTATTAATGTTTTGACAAGTGTTGAGATCTCTCTCTTCCTCCTCAATTTTTCCAGGTTAGTATGCCAAAGAAATTTCTTTTCATACCCTACCGATAGTGGTATTTCCCCTTTATCACTATAATGTCAAAGAATCTGATAGAGTATTAGACCAATGTTTCTCAACTATTGTCTGAGGAACACCGGTGATCTTAAGACATGATAAAGCAGTCAGCAAAATGTCTGCAAACCATCTGAGAAAAACATACACACACATTCCCCTACACATCAACTATCAAATAAACAGAACGGGGAAAAAATGAAAGTCAGCATTGCAAAAGAAGGTTCAGGGATTTTCTTCTTCAACTTGAAGAGGCAGAATTTTGTTAGCTAATGCAGTGTTTTTTAAAGTTGTCACATGACAATCATTTTTCGATCTTTTCTTCAACAGAATGTCTTAAGTGAAAGCTTTGAAATATTTCTTAATTCTTCAGAGTTCATTATAGCCTTGATCTCATTCCAGAGATCCCTCTGTCTCTTGAAAAAGATGAGTTTTAGTGTGCAGTAGATAGATTCTATGCAACTCAAGCAGAGCACTTTAAACCACCACCCTTATATTTCAAAGGCCTATATGGTAATTTCATTTCCTTATACCATGCCTTAGAGAGAAGGAAAAAAATCAAATCTGATGTAAAAACTTGCAAGAAAATCAGTGTGGAGATCCATCAGAGATACTTAAATAATATATTCTAAAGAGTCCATACTTGGTGTTGGCTGGAGTTTCCTTCATTGCAGTTTTGCTCAAGAGATTGAAAGGGAAGCTTTTATTTCTTGATTATTTTTGTTTCTTTATACAAACTTGGGGTAAGTTCCCAAATTATCTATATACTCAAGGATATTCCATCAAAAAAAAAAAAAAAAAAAAAAAGAATCATGCAAGTCAGCTTCCAAGGGCATGACTCAGAAGTTGCAAGTAGCTTATCAATACATGACTAATTAAATGCAGTGTTCTCCTTCCTTTTTTAACACATGAAAAATATTTATCTGCTTGGTTAAAAAGCTGCTAGAGCCCATCTCGTGGAAGTGACTACCTCAGATGTTACCTGGTTCTCATCATTATGTTAATTTTTTTGAAATACTTTTTTTTTGTTCTCAAACTTTATGATGCAGAGGAATATATTTTCCTTTTCAAGGGAAGGAAAAGAAGGATCTGCTAAAGGTCACTGGACTTCATCAGCAGTGCCACAAACACAGCTGGTCTCCCACACTCAAGGACACCACCACTTTTTTCTCTGTAAGCACATCACAATTGCTTCTAGCTATAGGCCAACGGCAAAACTTCCTAAAACTTGGTCTTAGAAAGCTTAACAAGCTACACTAAAATGAGCACCAGAGAGCTTTGCACTATAATGGATGGGGAAAAGAAAGTATAGTGCAACTGCTGTTCTAAAAAACCAAACAAATAAACAAAAAGTCTTCGAGCTTTTCTCACCTTCACAATGTATCACCTACCAAACAAAGAAAGGAATACATAATGCATCTTTGTATGTCTTCTGCTCCATAGCTAACAGCTACACCTCCAGGAAATATGGTTCATGGCAGTAAAATGACACTATGGCAAAATACTGGCACTCTAACCAAGGGGAATTAAACACTATCATATACTCCTCCATTCTAATATCAGACCCTGCAGTGATTCTCCTAGAAAAATACTCCCCTTAATCTGTATTCTCCTTGTTTACAAAAATTCAGCCAGTGGAACATGCAACACAGTATGTTTTAGACAGTTAGCTTGACTATAGCACGATCAGCCTCACAGAAAACATACAAAATGAACTGCTGACACCAAGTATGCATCTTGTATATGAATTTGATGATCACTTTGGTTTGAAACAAGTTTTCAGTTTCTGTGGTACTTATTATTAGAATCTTACCAACTTATGGACCACTTAAAGAAACACAAATGCCACTAATTTTAATCTTTAAAGGAAGAATCAAATTGCACAGCTTTTTCCTTGATGAAAGGTGTACATTGGCAGTTTGCTTTATACGTTGGCTAGCAGACAACACTCTACCTTCAAAACTGAAGAAGAAAGCCTTCTCTCAGTCATAGTTTACAAGCTAAGTCCTTGGGAATGCCTCAGTGCTGTTTTGCCTTGAAAGCTATTGCAACTCCCTGCAGAGTGAAAATCTCTAAAAGCCAAATAAAAAAAGGAAAAATGCCATTGACTTATCTTTTATTCTGTTGCTACTTCTATCGGGAACTCAGAGATACTTATTTTTTTGAAACATCTGTCCTTTTTTTGGTTGGAGTTCTGGAGCTAAGAGTGCCTACCAGCACTGCTGACGCCTGCTCTGCCCAGTAGGGCATGAAGAAGACAGCCCAGAAGAAATGATCTGAAACTGAGGAAAATGCTACTTCCTTTCTCTACCTTGTGCAAAGACATCACATCTGTACCTATTTTATATCCAGCAAAATCCTCCCCTGCTTGTACAAGCAAAAAAAAGTAGTAGTTTGCTTTGCTGCAAACACTATGTTCTTGCCAAAGCTTCAACGGGTGATGTAGTTAATCTTGAGATTTGCTAGTAAACACCATGGGAATAAGCACCAGGTCTTTCACTTTGGCATGGGCTGGTTAAGGGCACACAGTGGCCCAGGTTGCTATGGAGACAGGCTGTCACCTTTTGTATTAGTTGCGATTTCATCATGATTTCATGCCCAGCCATACTGCCGTAGGATGGAAAGCACTTAAACACCACACAGAGAAACAGAGAATGTGATGGTAGTTGTCAGCACTAATCGTGCTGAGGGTCACACTGGGACAGGGTGAAGTGGGGGGGAATTCACTGGTCTGGCAAAGTCAGTACATAAACAAATCAGTGACACTAAGGGAATTTAGAGAAGCCAGTGACGAGGCATCCTGTGTGCTTTATCAGTTCTACAGAAACGCAAAAACCTCACAGAGATACACAAGGTGATTTATACCCTGACAAGAAGGCTTTATATTCAAGGATATAATTCTGCTTGTTCTGAAATCAATGCAAAGATTTCTTTGAACTTCAGCAAGTCCATATGCAGATCACAGGTGGATTTAAAAGAAGAAAACAGATAATACAGAGAACTATCTGTTATTTGTACAGTGGTCATACTGACTTGTGGGCAGAGAGGAAGCTATACATATGTTTAGCTGAAGCAAAATACTTCAAACCCTGTTAAGTTTACCCAGAATTATTAGAAGTGAACATACTTTCATTTTCCCTCAGTATACAGCGCACGTACAAAGTATAGCT